CCAACCGGTCCGACCGGCCGGTTCGGTCCGGTTTTTTAAACACTGCTCTAATCTAAGCTTTGTTGTAAAAAAAAATAATAAATAAATAAAAAAATATAAAAAAATAGCCTCCGAAACAAATAATAAATAGAGTTAGACATATAATTAATGGGATCTGGACAACCCATGCTTCCTGTTCTAGTTTTCCGCATGGAAGACTTGAAGAAAGGGAATAATTCCTGGTTGCCAATTTGAGTGTTTTAAAATTAGAAAAATAACCTAATTTTAAATCCCAAAATAATCAATTTTAAAACAAAAATTCCATTAATGATTGTTTTTTTATCATCAAAATCATGGAAAGTTATGTAATTAGTAAAAACACAATAATACCAATAAAAGGAATAGTGACCGAATTTAAGTAAATAGGGATCCTTCTTTTTGTGATGAATTAATTTTATTTAGGAGATAGAATTTAAAGTCTTGGGAAAAAATTAGATCTAATAATTTGTCTTGAAATGAAATTTTTGTTCAACATATGTTATCTAATCTTGAAGTTTTTCTTTTATTTTTACAAGCTTATAGATTAGGGTAAAGTGAACCACCACCATTTTTATTTCTTAATTATGTGTTATATTTTAAATCATATATTCTCTCTATTCTTTTTTTAAAAATAAAAATAAAATAAAATATTTTTTACATTAAAAATGAATTAATTAATTGTGTTAAATTTTATAATTTCAAATTATTTATAATTAAATTATTTTATCATAAGTATCAAAAGAAAAGTGGAGAAACAAAAGAGTCGTATTATAAAAAAATTATTTTAAGAATATTATTAAATGAAACGGAAACATAAAATTTGTTTATAAGAGAAATTTTTTTCTTATGTATAAAAACGATCCAAAGAATATACTCTATCAAAATATCATGTCAATCTGGTCCCAACTAGTTAGGACATGAATCACATGATGACCAGGATATCCAAATATGCCTACAAAAATATCAAATAAAAATGTTATATATTGGTCAAACATCAACACCATCGTATCTACTAAAGAAAATAAAACTCAACATTTTAAACGGTGCATTCAAAACTAGCAAGCAAAACCAATAACTAACAGAGATCATAACATCAGAATCAATGGGTTCAGAAGGACAGCCCATGCTTCCTGTTCTAGATTTTTTTTTTGTTCATTCCTGGAGTATCCACTGCCGATAGCAGTGACTAATCTCCTCGCTACGTTGGAGGCACCTCAAAGGATAAGATAGCTAGCCCCAAGATTTAACGCGGCTGCATACACAAGACAGAATTCAAACCCCTGACCTTGCTTAAGTATGGATCAACCCTACCGCTGAAGCACACGCTTGGGGTTCCTATTCTAGATTTCACATGGAAGATTTGAAGTCAGGGACCAATTGCTGGTTAACAACGTGCACAAGGGTGCGCAAAGCATTTGAAGAATATGGTTGCTTCGTAGCTGTGTATGGTAAAGCTTCTGTTGGGCTTCAAAACGGTTTGTTCAGTTCAATGAAGGAGCTCTTCGATCTCTCAGCTGAAACCAAACAAAGAAACATATATGAGGGCATGCCTTTGAAAGGCTACGTTGGTCAACGCCCACACATTCCTCTTCACGAAGGCCTGGGTATAGATGAGGGAACAACACTAGAGGGAATTCAAAATTTCGCACAAAAAATGTGGCCAAACGGAAATGATCAATTCTGGTACATATATAATTTGTTGCTTATTATCAAATATATTACTTATTTTATTAGAAATGTTTATCAGTTCTAATCAATCCGATAAACTTAATGTTTAAACCAAATCATATTAATTAATTAAGATTTTATCTAACTAATATATTGGGATCTTATGATTTTTGAAACCAGGGTAATAAACTTGAATTAAATCAACCATATATGTCTTATTACTTTTTATTTGTTAATATAGTAATATTGTGTGTCATTTTTGAAAATTTTCTTTGCATTTCAAAATTATATTTATTTTTATTTTTTTAAATAATTTTTTTATTGAATATCTGATGAACTGAACTAATCCATTCAACTTTGAAGGTGGTTTGGTTCTAATTAGGTTAAAATTAAACCTTGAATAAAATAAAGTTAATTGGTTTGAACTTTATTTTTTCTCAAAACTAAACTAATTAACCTAACCCAAGAATACTCCTATATATATTTTATCTAATCATACAATATTCATGAGTTTTTTTTATTTATTAATTTTGCATCTAGAACGGGTCGTTCCAGATACAAAATTAACACACAACGAATGTAAGCGGAACAGACCGTATTGGTTTCAGAACAGACCGTTCCAGATCCAAGGATGGTTCTTGAATTTCTTAATTCTCTCCATATTAAAATTTTGACTGGGGCAAATTGTGAACCAAGATTGATTTTTTTTAGACTTTTTAATATAAAGTATCGTCTCAATTTGGAGGAATTCAATGGTATCTTTGAATTTCGAACCATAGGGGAAAAAACCCAAGATCATTTAATCCATACATGTTTTGGGGGGCTATAACAGGTCATACACAATGGGAGGCTGGTAAATACAATTCATTTACATTTTGTCACTCTGCCATTAGAATTATGCATAGGTTTATTGCATCTACTGTTCTAGGTCGTGGAGGTTCAGACAGTAAAGTACGACTAACTGCATTTTGTTGAACATTTTGTTGAAATGTAACACTTAAATTTAAACATTAAATCCTGGTTGGCGTTCTGGAACGGGTCATTCTGATGCACTCGTTGTGTGTTACATTTACATCTGGAATGGGCCATTTCAGATACAATATTAACACACAACGAGTGAGATCAGAACAGGTCGTTCTGATTTCAGAATGGACTATTCCAGGTGCATTAAAGAAGGAGTATGGTACCATGCCACCTATGCATCTACGTAGCATCCACGTCATCTACATTTAACACCATTTATGAAATTTGGACGGAAAGTCCCACATTGACATTTTTTAAATTATTGAGGACCAAATTGAAATAAAAATGATAGAGGGATGAAATCGAAACTATTAATTATTATAAGAGATCAAATTAAGTGTTTAGCCTAAATAGAATAAAGATTTAAATCTTGTATGTTCCAAAGTAAATATGAAAAGCTTTATTTTTGTTATGCAAAACATAAAAATCAGTTGTTCCCATTTCTTAATGTATTCAAATGATATGATTGCTTTTATTCAATGAACATTATCCATTAAAGATATGTTTATTGGCTAAATATATCTTTCAAAGTAATGATTTGCCTAACTGCACTTCCACTGTTCTCACAAGGAATTCTACGTACTGCAACATCAAGTTTATATATAATCTTGGGTACATCAACTAGAAACAAGATTTGGCCATAATATTTGTAATTTTTCATAAGTCATACATTACGAGTAATCTTTTGCTTAGACATAAATTAAAATGTATAATAAAAATAATAAGATTAAAATCTTGAACCTTTATTCTTCTTGTTAATTATAATGGGCGATTTCTTTCTTATAGAGTATTTAAAAATTCAATTTGTACAATAGTTCATAATATTAAACAAGTAATAATTCCGCTATTAAGATTTCTTAAGTCTATACAAAATTATATAATGACCATTCGTTACCATAAACTATGTATGAATGAATTTACTTTTTTCAGTACATGAAAGTTTCTTTAAAACTTAGTCTAATATGTAGTAATGCATAGTGTTAATTAAATAGCATTTTATCATTGACACTATTTGATGATGAGAGTTTAATTATTAGTCACTTGTTACGTAACACTTTGATTTTCATACGAGTATTATTTTGTTATAAAGCATGATTTGTAATTATTATTTTGATATTTAATATAATTATTTAGAGTTTTGATATTATTTAAATAATTATATGAGCACTATTTTATTTATGAGATGTGATTTATAATTATTATTTTGATTAGTGATATATAGAACTTTTATAAAATGTATTTTTATTAATAATTGTGCTTATGATTATTTGATTAAAAGGAAGAGATATGTTTTAATTATATTAATTATTTTATGAAAGGCGAAGGAAGGATGTGATGGTCATCATTTGATTAATTATTATTATTATTATTATTATTATTATTATATTTTTATTATTTTAAGAAGGGAGTTATCAGAAGTTATCATACGTTTCATTCTCCTAACTTCTCCTTATTCATTTTCTTTCTACGCTCTTTGAAGACCAGGGAGAACCAAGTGAAGGAGACCAACCAGATTCTGTCCACGCTTCATCTTCTACACATCCAGGTAAGGGAGGAGTGAGAAACCTCGCTTGAGGTGTGAGAATAATTGTTAGGTAGTAGGATATTGACCCTCAATCCTTATGCATGCTTTAAGAATAGACAAATTTTGAAAGCTTTTTGTTTTAATATCTGAGTTTTCTGTTAGGTTTTTGGTTGGATGTGATGCATGAATATGTGTTTGAGTTCAAAATTAAATAAGTTTTGATATGATTTAGAGTGCTTTGTGGTTTTTGTGGGAAACACTATGAGAAAGAATTAGGGGTGTGATCTTTTGACAAGATTTGAGGTATTTTATGAAAAACTGAGTATGAATTTATGTTCAAAGTGTTATTTGGAGAATTTTTACCGATTGATTTATATGATTACATGGTTGTGAAAATCATCTCATTGTGAAGTGTAGGTTCGTACTAAGGGCGCCGGGCGTAGTTCTTCGTGTTGGGCACAAACTAATAGTTTCCCAGGAAAACTAAGCCAGGCTCAGGAAAATTTAGCCAGGCTCAGGAAAATTGAGCCAGGCTCAAGAAAATTGAGTTGGGCTTAGGAAAATTGAGTCAAGCTCAGGAAAATTAAGTCGGGCTCTAGAAAGTTGCATCGGGCACAGGAAAGTCACGCTGAGCGCATGTAAAGCTGCACCGGGCAGAATTCTCCTCTTTAGGCACAACATTAAATTCGCCAGGCATGCCGAGCGTAATGCTCCGCTTTTGGTGTGACATCTAATGCGCCGAGCGCGAGTTGGGGCGGACCGGGCGTGATCCCCTATGATGTTTTACATGTTTTATATCTTTTTTGAAGGTGCAAATTGTGTGAGAATTGCCTTATTACTGTGTTAACGTAAATGATGTGTTTTATGAGCATGATAATGTCAATAATCTCCAAATTATGATCTTATGAGTATGATTATGAGAAATGTGAAATGTGAACAAGTGAGATGAGACATGATGTAAATTATGTGCTATTATGAATACTATGACTATGAGAATGTGAAACGTGATGAAATGAGATAAGACACGAAATTCCTTGACAAGTAAAATGTTGAGTCTATGAGTTTGTGAATATGTGACATGCATCATATGCATTTATGTGATGGGGTATAATATGGAGTACATCGTTAGGGAAGGCCCTCTAAGTATGAAACATCTTGGAGGAGTCCTAGGGGATAGTATGATTTGGAAGGCCCAATTTTGCCCGTTTGTGTGCATGGGACGTATCTTGCGCAACTTCACTATCTTGACGAGACCCTAGCACTGCTCAACATGAATGACTAGTGAATTTTATTTTTTTTTAAATTGATGATGGAAATTTTATTGGTCTTTATTATTTATATATTCATTTTTAAAAAATGTAGAACTTTTGTCAAGAACATAAAAATTTCTTTTTCGTAGTAGTTAAGCTATGTTATGCAATATTTGTTTATTGGATTTCATATTTCACATGTTGGATACATATTTCTATTTGTATATTTTTATCTAGTATTAAAATGTTTATTTAACATTAATTGGTATTTAAATTCTTATTTTAAATTAAAAATTGCATTTAACTATTTTATTGTTTATATTATTCTTGTGTATTACATACTTAATACTCCTAAGAATAAAAAAATAATGGACATGCAAAGTATCGCATGTCATTTTCAAACAAGCATAGTTTAGATGTAATTGCCATTATCTTATAAAGTTTAGTGTAATTATTCCTAAATTAATAAATGGAAAGCATCAATAATTTCTTTTAATTTGGAACGTACCTGACAAAACTCGTAAATAATCCATACAAATGTTCACGTTGCACTATCCCAGAAAATGAAATCCAAGGAATATTATAAATAACTAAGACTTTGTTGAAATATATGATCTCATACGTGGCACGTATTCTCTATTACTTTGGTTACAAAATGTTTCTTTATAAACTTAGGAAATGGCACATTGTAATGATTTGTTGTTACTTTTGTGTTTGATTTTTTTGTAACATTAATGTTGCTTATCTGTCATGGGAATCTCATATATATCTACAATATATGAGATTTAACCATTTTTGTGGTATAGTTTTACTTGTACTCCTTAATTTGATTTTAGTTTATAGCCTACTCCTTACATTGACTTGCTTGTAGAATGAATGTCTCTATTACACCTATACTTAACGTGGTTTCATCAAAATTCTCTCAATACTCATTTCTTTTTATTATACAAGTTCTGTTGGTTGTTTGAAAAATATACACGGATATTTTTTATACATCACACGAGCCTCTTTAATTATTTGAAAAATATTGTACACCTTACAAGGTGGTACGGAGTAGTAAATGTTAAGAAAGCATGAAAATAGTGTGCAATCTCAAGAACATCAGGGAGTCATAGTATTTTGTACATAAAAAAATATGGTATGACTTTGAAGGTAATTATAAAGATTAACAAAATTTTCATGTTAATTTATGATTAGAAGATAGGATACAAATCCTTTATTTTGTTAGCGTGAACCATTTTCTCTGTACAATGATAAAGCTTTGTGTCTTCAATCCCAAATATTTTTAGTGTTGGTGTTTGCTAATTATTGATTTGATAAATAGGAAGGCAGTTTGTGATCTTGTGGGGAATTTTAAGTCCCATTTTTGAACAGCCATCAGATTAATCTAATGTACACACTATTATTCTACGCCCTCTCCACTGAAATTATTTCTGTAGTTCTTCACTTTCTACAAGTAGTTCACTCTAGAATTTACAAATTATGAGCGCCCTTGTTTAAATTTAAAAAAGAAAATTTCTTATTTTAAATAAAAAGTTTAGATAAATTTTTTTATTAAATTAATACTTATTAAGCCACTATTACAATTTGTGCGTTTCATGTTTATAGTTTGGCTTATTTTCTCTTTAATTATAACATTGTAAATGTTAATATACTTGTCATCCTAATAAACCTATATTGTTCCATTTCTTAGACAGGATATTAATTTAGAATCAGCTTTTAAGGCCATGGTTGGTTGCATGATTTCTACTGCAATTTCTGGTTTGGTTGGTTGCTTTGTTGGTTTATAATATTTGGCTGCATGGTTTGCAATATGATTTCTATTGCAATTTTTGGTTTGGCTGGATGTTTTGTTGGTTCAGTTCTAGTTTTGGTTGTTCAGAGTCTGAATGGACTACTCTTAGTCCTTGATTATTGGGTTGGGAACTATTTGGCTGCTACACATCTTTGGTTTGGTGTTGCTATTATGATTTTGGCTTCATGGAATTGTTGATCTGTAGTTCTATTTATAACTATGGGTTATGTTGTTGGTTACATTAATTGGTTGGTTTGTTTTGGTCCTTGGCTAATATAGTCATGGGTGTTTGGAATTGTCATTATCATATAATATTTATAATATATATTTTTCTTGACTGGGTGTTTTTTCTTTTCTTATTTCAGCCAAACGATGCTTCAAGTGTTCCTAATACACCTTTGGATGCAAGAGGATCATCTGGTACTAGCAACCCTTAGTTTGCATATAATGTATTTTGGATTTAAAGTTTAGTATGAGGCTAATTTGACAATGTTATGAATTTTATGTTGTACTTGGATTTATAATAGAAGTTTGAATTATAAATCTTTGAACTATATGTTGTGTTTTTGGTTATTAGTAATGGAATTTCTTCATCCATTTTATGTGTATTTTTTTTCATTAAGTTTCTTATAAATATCAAAAGTGAAAATGGGAAATTGTAATACATGTAGATTATGCAATTAAAATGAGTATAAATTATTATACATAGGAAAATAGGGCGGATTAGAAACTCCACATTAATTTACTTTAAAACCTCCACTACTTCAAAGCCTCCAGTAAAAAAATGGCTGCAATTAGCATAGGTTTAAAACCTCCTTTAAAAAACCTCTACAATTAGCATAACTTTAAAACCTCCTTTAAAAAACCTCCACTATTAGTGTAGGTTTAAAACCTCCTTTAAAAAACCTCTACAGTTAGCATAGCTTTAAAACCTCCTTTAAAAAACCTCCACTATTAGTGTAGGTTTAAAACCTCCTTTAAAAAAAACGCCGCTAAACGTTTACAATACCAGAGGTTTCTTAAAAACGCCGCTAATTGCTTGCGGCAAATGTAACTGCGGAGGTTTTTAGAAACCTCTGCGATTTATTTTGCGGAGGGTAAAAACCTCCACTAAACGTAAAAAAGACCTCCAAGGTTGAGAAAGTGACACTAACTTATTATGTCATAATATCAATTTTAAATCCTAATTTTAATTTTCTGCATAGCTCAATTTATAGCAGAAGTACTATGCATTGTGCCGATTAGGTGTTAAGCAGATAATAATAATAATATTATCAACGTCTCTCATGCGCAAGTTGCTATCTAGTACGTAGGTGAAGGTCAATTCAATGAGTAAAGCCAAATTGATGGGTTTCTCTGTATTCTTCTCTCAAACTTTACATGCAACTAATTGGTTCCTGTCCCTAATATCTTCTCCACAATGTTAGCATCTGCATGGGACTAGAGCCATATAAATGATATAAAATATATAATGTGGATAACACTTTACTCTCTTATTTAAAGCCACCCTAATTGGTATTATCGGCACTTATTGATTCCCTTTATCAAGAGCAAAGTATTCATTGATGGAGGGAGATCAACAAGGCTCTCATTACTCTTTTCCACCTGGCTTCAGATTCCACCTTTCTGATGAAGAACTCATAGTTCATTACTTGCAAAACAAAATCAGTTCACGTCCACTTCCAGCATCTATCATAGCTGAAATAGATCTCTATAAGTATAACCCGTGGGAGCTACCTAGTTTGTCCCTTGCCATGCACTCCTTCTGTTTACTAAGAGCCTGTCTGGTTAAACTTTTCTAGAAGGTCTTCTATAAGAGAAAAAAGAAGAAAAAATGAAATAAAACTTTACTATAAGCTAAAATATTGCTTATTTAAAAGCTAATTTGGAGAAACTCTCTCTTATTAACTTCTCCAAAATCTTATTTTTAACTAATGTATAAGATTTTCTTTCCTATTTTTTTTCTCTCTATAAGTACTTCTGGAATTTATCCAAACAGATCTGAGTTATGTTTATGATTATAGTTGAGAAAAATGAAAATAGTTTTGTATTTGTTGTAAATGTGCAGATAAGTCTTTGTTTGGGGAGGAAGAGTGGTATTTCTTTAGCCCGAGAGACAGAAAGTACCCAAATGGGTTGAGGCCAAACAGGGCAGCAGCCTCAGGATACTGGAAAGCAACTGGAACTGACAAGCCAATTCTTTCTTCAAGTGGATCAAAGCGCATAGGAGTGAAGAAAGCTCTGGTGTTTTATTCAGGTCGACCTCCTAACGGATCTAAGGCGGATTGGATAATGAATGAATATAGATTGATTGACACAGCCACTTCATCCTCCAGGCTAAAAATTGGATCATTCTTTTGTCTCATTGTGTACTTTCATGTGTTTCATTCTTTTATGATCATTTTTGTTATTTTATGTTCAAGTCCTGTTGACACTGCCCTGCTCCAACATGCCAGCACCAGCTTCACATGTTTGAGACCGAGCAGCAGCTGGAATAGCTGCATCCAAGCCATCACCAAACTGATTATTATCAACAGCTGATTCACCCATGTGCAGACCAGCATAGATATCTACAACATGTGCACCAGCCTTTGCAGCACCATTAGCATGCTCAGCTGCACTTGGCTGAGCACCAAGCCGTGCATTCAAGACCTCATCTCCCTGCAGCTGGTCTGCAACATCCAGAGGGTGATTGATCAATCCTCCAGCCACACGTCCAGCCGCATCAGAAGTAGCAACTGCTGTAGATTTATCAGGTTCTGCCTCGGTCAATGCAGGTGCAGCATTAGGCCGTGATCCATGAGTCAGCTTGTGCTCATGTTGCAGCTTGTCTCCAGCCTCTTCTACATGGAATGCCCCGAAGGTGACGGAGTTCCAAGGCAAGCCCAAGGACATGAGAGCATGTCCACCATGCCTAAGCATGGGTGTGCAAGTTACATGTATCATTAGGTGTTCCAAGTTACAAGTCATCATTATCTTTCAATCATAACGTTTATTTTTTTTTAATAATGGTTAATCACCGTTGCTGAATAGATATTAAAAGATAATGATGTCCTAGTTAACTAATGAGACAGAGTGTAAGAACATTATCTTACTAAGATATAATTAAATAATGTTTCCACTAAGAAAATCCTACCGTCGAAATGGTTTTTGTTTTGCTGCTTTTGTCCCTTATTTTTTTTTAATATAACTACTAAAGATTTTAAAACTTCTTAGATGTACAAATTAAGACCCCCCCACCTTACACATCCAAGAAGACAACATCAATACAGATAAACAAGAAAAACTCCATATTTTGAGACACATCCAAGAAAACAACATCAATAAAGAAATTGTAGCAATGGTCATCATACCAGTATGCCTGTTACAGTAAGTGCTGGGACTGCTACAGCACCCACCTCATGAACCTGTTTCACAGAAGGATACTATTTTCATAAAATTATCAGGATGAAAAACCAGAAGCTATGGGGTGTACCTTAAAATAGAATGCAACTGCTGCAAATACACATCCTGCGACCAATCCCGATTCAGATATCTAAAATGAAATCAAGAAAGAACTATATGAATATTATACACAAAAGGATATTTATGAACACACGAAAGTTTAAAGATAATTACTTAGTCTATATAGCAGATTTATTATAGCAGATTACTTATATAGCTGATTTACAACATATTTAGTTTATATATTTATTTATAAAAATGAAAGTAAATGAACTAGATAATTGATTTCATTCCACTAAAACAAAACTGAACAGAATTAGGTAATGTATTAAACTCTTTTTATTTAATAAAAATTGTCTTTTTCGAAAATCATCATTCAAATCAATCATCCAAAAAAAAGGTAGACTAATTATTCATCAAATACAAAGCCTTCTCAAAATATAAAGGGTCTTTAAATATCAATATTGCACCAAATTATTCAACGAACACAAGCCCTGTATCATACAGCAGATTATCACAATTACTCAAAATTATTTGAAAACAGAGTAAAACAAAATTTAGGAAATTTCTTAATTATAGTCAAAAAAAAAAATTAGCAAAACATGATGAATCAAAGGACACTAAAAGATACTTGTAATCTGACCTTTACTATGACCAACAATTGCTGTAATTATGTATTTCTGCTCACAGAAGCGTTGAATTACAACTCGCAGGTCTTCAACTTCTCTGTAGTAGTTACCATACTGAAATGAATCTTCACTTTCCCTAGAAGACAATCATGAGTTGCTAGCAATATAACGACAATTCAATAAATTGTTTTCCTCTAGTATTAGAACAGGTACACCTTTAGTTTACATCCCTGGTAATGAAGAAACAAACTTAATAATCACCTCTAATGACGAAAACAAAAAATCAATTTCCCCAAAATCCCATTAGAGCCAAAACTTAATAATCACCTCTAATGACGAAACCCCCATGAAACCATAACCTCTAAATCACAAATCAAAACCACAATCAATTAAAAAAAATATAAGTTAAGCAAAAAGGGTAGAAATATGTGCGTACAGAGCGTTGCGGCAATGGGAAGCACGTACGACAATTGGTAGAAGCTTGGGACCAAAATCAACGGGTTTAAGGGTTTCCAACGATACGACGATTGGTAGAAGCTTAGGATTGGTGGGGTTTTCTGATTTCTCTACGCATTGATTCAATTGAAGGAGAAACTCATATGACTTCGTCTTTCAAAGGGACCATGCCCATGAACGGAAGGCAAATGCCAATGGTGGTATGGCCATGAACGGAGAAACGCAAGAATCGTCTGAGAAACTCCACAAATGTTATTCACTACACGAAGAAACGCAAGAAGGAATGGGTTTAGGTTTTCTCATTTCTTTGAAAAAGGGGATTCTGATTTTTCTTCAGACAAAAGGGAGGCGGGGGCGGGTAGTTTTAGCGGAAAATTTTTTATTTTAGAATAAAATTGGGATTTAAGAGGGAAAATATTATTTAATTAAAAGAGGTTATAAACCTCCGAGTAAATAAAATAAAAAAATTGTAGTGTTTCTATCTAATTTAATAATTTCAAGAGGTTTTTAAAATCTCCGCAAAATAACCTCTACTATTTATCAACTTTTTTGTAGTGAGTACATCCTTCTAGTTGAGAGTGCACGGTTTAGCCGACATGTACTCCTAGACTACTCTAAGTATGTTGTTTCGACAGCATACCATGTGATATGTGATTATGAGATACGTGACTAGTACCACATGCATGCATTTATGAATCGAGTCCATGACATCATTGCATGATATTGAGTGTGCATATGTGATATTGATTGTGTATGTGTATTGTTTATATGTGATTGGTGCTTGTGACTTGTATTATGTTTGTTGTGTGTGTGATGTCTAACCTTTATTTCTACACCTGAACCTGAGTGAGATATTTCTCACTCCCTTGTTGTTCTTTGTCTGTGTTTAAAATGTGTTACAGGTGATCATCAACATGAGGATGTTGGTGATGAGGCTTAGGCTTCAATTGGGCGTGCTCTGATAAGATATGTGATATCAGGGCATAGTTAGGCTTAGTTTAGAAGTTCAATATTGTTATTTTATTTTTGGAAAAACTCATGTTTTATTTTCTTGTAAATTCTGCATTTGACCATAATTTAAGTTTACGAATGTTAATTATCTACTCTTATGTTAGTGGAACTATTGTTTCAATTCTAAAGATTTTATTTACTCCAAGAATATGAAATTATAATTATTATATATGTATGTTAGGGTAAAGGGTGTCACATTTTAGCTTAAATTCTTGCGCGAGGATGATTTCAAAATAGGAAAGTCATCATCTTTCACTCAAATAATAATTCAAAAGATTTTTACTATAATTAATAGCGTTATTTAAATAACAATACTATTTTTTTATGTTTTTTTGAGAGTTTAATGATTAGTCATTTGCTAACTTAAATTCTTATACAAGTTTTCTTTTTTTTTTAAAAAATAATAAATAAATAAATAAATAAAAGAGATTTATTTCACATATAAATTATTTTCTCCTATGCAACGATTTGTGATGTTAATTGAACAACGTTTCTACCTTTAATATCACATGAATCATAAGAATTTATATAATAGTCATTTGCTATCATGAATTTTTATGTTTAGAGTAAATTATTTTCTTGAGAAAAATATTCTTTAAAATTTACTTTAATTTGTAATAGTTAATAACGTCAATTGAATAATACTTTTATCTATGACGTTATTTAATTGTGAGAATAATAACTAGTCATTTGTTAGTTTGAATCCTTATGCAAAATTTATTTCTTTAAATAAAATATTTTTTTTAAAAAAAGGGGTTCCTCTCTCACATAGAAGTTATTTTTAGTGGTTAATGATATTAATTAAGTAGTCCTTCTACCTTTAATATCATGTAAATCATAAAAACTTATAGAATAATCATTTGTTAATTATCCTAAGTTTTTATACGCAAGGTAAATTAAAAATTATCATTTTATGAAAACAAAAACGGTTATTAATAACATTAATTGAATAGTAATTCTATCTTTAATGTTATTGCAAGGGTTTATTGATAAACCATTTTCTAACTTAAATTAGTGTAAGTTTTTTTTAAAATAAAATAAAAATGTACAAATATGAAAGTTTTATTTTAATGTAATATCAACTAATAAATACCAATAACATTAATTGAATACTTTAATGTTATTACAAGGGTTATTGATCAGTCATTTGTTAACCCAAATCTTTATGATTTTTTTTAAAATAAAAATACAAATGAAACATTTTTGAGGAGTAAAATAAATATTTATAAAATTATATAATTTTGTGCAATTAATAAAGGTACTATTTCTTTATAGGCGTTGTACAGTACTAATATTTTCTCTATACATAATTGATTTCCAAATCCAATTTTAATTTTAAAGATTATTTTTAAAAGGATTTTTCAATGCTTTTAAAATAAAATATTTGTGGCGACTCTATTAAAATATGTTTGTATCATCCCGTCGTGATCTCGATTACGACAATATTTTATTATATTAGATATAATAAGATAATTAAAATATAATTAATAATATATATTATAAAATAATTAATATTTTATATAAAAAAGAATGAAAAGAATTTTAGTGAAGACAAGTCCTCCACTAACATTAATATACTGTTATAAATTAGATATTTATCTCCACTAACATTAACATAAACATAGATCCGTCCCTGAATCAATATAATGTTATAAATTAAAGATATTTATCTTCGAAGGAAAAGTTAATCTAGAAGTAAAGTAGAATGCAATGGTTAATAGAACAGATTATAGATATTGGCATATAAGACAAATCCAAACCTTGGATTTGCACGTAACACAATTATTCATATCAAAGATTGTTCTGAAATATTTAGATAAGAACTTTGCGGAAAGGCTAAGTATACATATTTTTCTCATAAACTTAACCAAATTAAGTTCCAAGAAACAGAAATGTGTATATTTTCATGCCAATCCTATTCTGCGCATTAACTTATTCATGAATTCAAATTCTGTCTTATTCAAAAAGGAACCACAAACTAATATTAATCCATAAGACTACTTAGTGATATGAGCAATGAAAGATTCCATTTCCATGCGAGAAGCTCCACCTTCATCCATGGACCTGTGGATGGCATTTTTAAGCCTCAATGCTCTCTCTCGCATCTCATCACCTTCCTTTGTTTCCATCAACCTTCTCACAGCATTCTCAACAACCGAAGCAGTAACCAACACATCCCTCTTGGCCCAATCCTTCACAACTAAACCAACCTTGAGCACCTGTGTCATGAAAACTGAGTTTCGTGGCTGGTCAGAGTGCATAGGCCATGCTGCTATTGGCACCCCCATGGTTATGCTCTCTAAGCATGAGTTCCATCCACAATGACTCATAAACCCCGCTGTTGAAGGGTGGTTCAGAATTTCCAATTGGGGCACCCAATCCCTCACAACAAGCCCTATTCCTTCAAATCTCTCCTCAAACCCATTTGAAGGATCATGCCCTTTTGCTTCATTTGCATCAAAGATGTCTCCTTTGTCAGCATCTCTAAGCACCCAAATGAACTTCTGCTTGCTTTGTTCCAACCCAGTTGCAATCTGTTGGATTTGTTCCGCTTTCAAAGTTGTTGTAGTCCCAAAAGACACATATATGACTGACTTTGGCTCTTGTTTATCAAGCCACTCCATGCATGAGTGCCTTCTTCCTTTTGAACCCTTCTTCTCAACGGTTAAAGGGTTGAACGGTCCCAGTGCCCAAATTTTCTTGCCACCAGTCACACCCTTCATCAACTCAAGGTAAACACCTTCAATTTCCCTGCTTGTGTTGAAGATGTTCAACTCAAGGTAAACACCTTCAATTTCCCTGCTTGTGTTGTAGATGTGTCCATCACTGAATTTGATAAATTCAACTCGTGCAATCAAGAAATCCAAGAATTGGGTTGGGTAGCATCCTTCGAAAGAAGGAAGTTTTCCTTCTGGGACATGCAAGCCTTCAAATGAAGACCTTCCCATTTTCTCCCACAAATAAATGGTGGTAAAGGCACATGTGCTGTGAAAAGTGTAATTCTCAACATTGGGCATGTTTGTGGCATCTTGTGCCACTGACTCGCCCAACTTGAGTTGGTAGAAATGGAGGAAGACGGGCAATGCCAACCCTATCCCCAGGGCCGAGCACATGACTTGAAAAGCCTTCAAAAAACCCCAACTATTGTGGTGCAGTTGGCAAGGAGCCGCGTTGATGAAATTCAAAAAATCGCACTCAAACTGGGTGAAAGGCAGACATACACCTAAATCCCTAAAAAAACATTGGTATATATAGAAAAGGGGGTATTAGTGGTACCCCCCATATATACACGCTCGCCGGGTTGACAAGGTTTAAGCCGGATGAGCTTGGAAATGGACGCTTGGCAGATCCTGTGCGATTTCCACATCTCATTGACCTCAAGAAATGATTTAAAGATGCTCTGAAACTCTCCGACGTCCCCTCTGACCCATTCATAGCCAGGAGCGGTGATGGAGGGGTGAGAATCCCTAGGGTTATTCCCACCCCTCTTCTTTTTAGCGACGGCCATCTCGTCGGCCACCGCCTTGCCGCGTGCCTTGCCCTTGCCCTTGGCTAGCGCAGAAGGTGCGACACTGTTCTCTCCAGCCATCAAAAGATGAAACGACTCAAAAGGGGGAAGAAAGAAGGAAATCGACGGAGAGGAAGAACGAGGAGGAAGGTAAAGAAGGGGAAGTACCTGGTACTCCTCATAAAATGACCTTAACGGCGACTCGACTATCGAAAACAGTGACGGCGGAGCACAACGGAGTCGCTAAGAGAAAAGGGAGACGAAGGTAGCAATGGAGAGAAGAGCGTGCACGAAAAGCCAAGAAAGAAGAAAGAGTAAAGTGAAGGGGAGATGGCGCGAAGGAGAAAGGGAAAAAGGGGTTCCCAAAATTAAAACAGAAGTGACACATGGAGAGAGAAGACAAAAACTGACGACACATTAATGGAGCCCATTATGACAAAATGCGCCTATTATTACATAACCGTCACCTCCCATTAACACGTCGCCCACGCATTTGGGGAACGAAGTGACACTTATGACACATGGCGTCACGTCAGAGAAGCGTACGCGAAGAGTCATGACCCTTCATCGAGCTCGGTATTAACTCCTCGACCCACGATCTTCGGAGCTCGGGGGGCTAGTGTACTATCCGCACCGCAAAGCCAAGCTTAAGCTCGGCATCACAGTGCAGATTGACATCGGACATGCGCCGCGCAACATCAGCCAAGACAAAGGCCCACTACCTAAACCGACCATAACTAATCTCAGGCCCAAGGCCCAGAAAAATCCTAATTCACACTAAGGTACGTGCGTTACTTATACGAGACCCATACACCCACAAATACTAACTTTAGCATCGGAGTCTCTTTTGCAGGTACTACTCCCACTTCGGAACAGCAAGCGTACCCAGTGAAGGAGGCTCACCAATCTTGCCCAGCAGATCGTCCCCTACGACCGATCTCCGGTAAGAACAACGTATATTATAGTACAATAAATTTTTTACGTATAATTTTACAATAATAGACTATAATTAATATGCACTTCAATAAATAATAAGAAAAATAATTATAAAATCGATAACTTAATCTAACAGATGAATTATACCAATAAAGATATAGACACTTTGTGTAAATAAACACTTATAATTTTATAATATTATACTAAAATTAATATATACTTAAATGAATAATAAATAAAAAGTTAATAAGTAATATTTTATTTTTATTTGTTATCATATCTCCGATTTTTATTCAACCTACTATATGAAATATAAAATAAACTGAATTGTTGTATTATTGAAAATAATAAAAGAATAAGTAAAAAAAATTTATCAATAAACATTTATACTATTATAATGTTACATTACATTTAATATTAATATGTACTTCATGTTGCATATGTGTGTCTATTTCAAAAAGAAGTCTCATATTATTTGGTGCATGTAAAACTTGAATTTTTATATATCAACGTGTTTCTTACACTTCTAAAAAATCTAGCAATAAATGTTGGATTTGAACATGAGAATGAGTCTTGTGAGTCCGTTGTATTACAAATATATTGATTCTCCACATTTTATTGTATTGATTAAAAATTATTAAGTATGAAAAATTACTTAGAAATCTTGTTTTGAGAAGGTTGGTGTGCACCAGACACCATTCTTCCAGGAATCTTTGAGGAACACTCCAGAAGACGTAGTGCATCAACACCAAGTTAATGTAGATGGCACTTATAGTGTGGATACACCAGAGTATCCTACTTTCCTTCATCTGGTTGATATTATAGTGATGCTTCAGATACTTTTTTGGCTTTACCTTTGAGGTGAAGGTATAGGCGCAGGTCATGGCTTTGCGCATTTCAGCAAGGTTGATCACTACTGCAGCATTTATCATATGTGCATCCATTGTAGTGGATGAAGAACATTTGAAGAAGAGTGGAGTGTTGGAATTCAGAAAGGCTTTTGAGGTCATAAGAGTTTAGGGGGTGTGAAGTGGAATGCTAAGTGTGGGGGAATTTATAGAGATTTTTATGCAAAGGGGTTTTATTTCAATTATTACAATTATGACTTGGCGCCCCTTGTTCTCCTCGTTCGGCGAAACGTGCGGCTTGCATTAAATTTTGGATAAGGGAAACATCTTTTCCAAGAGGATCCCTGAGTGACGGTCATGCTACCCATTAATTTAAATATTTTATCCCCTTTATTAATATCTTTTAAGAAATAGATAATTATCATGAATAATTTGACTGACGCATCATTTGATATTGACGAACATTTATTAGGACTGTGGTAGACTAAAATTTCTCAAACGCAAGGACAGAGTGTTCAGACGCAGGGAAACCTTTCTTGATGCTTCATCAGATAGAGATTTTCAGACGCAGTAATTTCTTACTACACTATGAGGAATAATTAAATGTAGTGTTTTACTACAATCCATGCACATCCTTTATTTTCCATCCTTTTTAGGAACCAAAAGAACAGGAACGACACAAGGGCTAAGGCTCTTTTGAACCCAACCCTTCTTAAACAAGTCCTCAACTTGTGTTTCTATCTCTTTGGTCTCTTGGGGGTTAGTCCTATAGGCGGGCCTATTTGGTGGACTTGCACCCGGAATGAGGTCTATTTGATGCTCTATTCCCCTCAAAGGTGGAAGTCCACTTGGAACCTCTTGGGGGAATAGGTCATCAAATTCTTTCAAAAGTATTTGGACCTCTTGAGGTAGAGACTCAAGTTCATGACTAGTGGCAGTGAGTGTCTCTTTGAAACAAAGGAGGTATAAAGGTTGTTCAAGCAATAGTGTTTTCTTAATATCATTTTTGAGAGATAAGTGACTCTTGTGAACAACTTCTTTAGAGAGGACACTTGCCTCTAAACTTGATACTTCCTTTCCTTTTTCTTTAGTCCATGAAGGATGACCTTTTTTTTTCTTTTTTGGATTTTTTTTTTTTGTTTTCTTTGTTTTTCCTCTTCTTCTCTCCTAGCTTTCATCTTGATTTGATCCTCACTCATTTGAGAAGGTGATAGAGGACACAAAACAATTTTGCTTCCCAAGTGTTGGAAACTTATCATATTGGTAAAGCCATCATGGATGGTTTTCTTATCAAATTGCCAAGGCCTCCCAAGAAAAACATGACTAGCCTCCAATGGCACTATATCACACAAAACTTCATCTTTATATTTGCTAATTGAGATTGGTATGCTTGCTTGTTGGTTGACTACAATTCCTCCTTCCTCATTAATCCATTGCAATTTATAAGGCTTAGGATGGGGTATTGTAGTTAAGGCTAACTTTTCATACAATCTAGTGCTACAACAATTGCAACTAGACCCACTATCTACAATGAGAGAACAAGTATTTTCTAAAACTTTGCATCTTGTGTGAAATAAGTTCTCCCTTTGAGATTGGTCTAAGTCACTAGTTTGGTTTTAAAGAAGCCTCCTAACCATGAGTAAGTCTCCACTACAAGGAAAGATTTCTTCTTCCAAATCTATGGCTTCATCCTCACTACTTGAAGTAAAAGAGGAAGAAGTAGCTTCATCAAGGCTACTATAGTGGTCTTGGCCTCTTAAAATCATGATTTTCTTTGTGGGACATTGAGAAGCAATATGTCCCCTCGCAAGACACTTGAAGCACTTGATGTCACTTGACTTAGACTCTTTAGAAGGAGCTTTAAGAGGAGACATTGGTTTTTCTTACTCTTTTTCTTTTTCTTTGGGATAAGGTTTGGAAGAGGGGCCCTCCTTCATGAAATTATTGAAATAAGAGGGAGTGGAATCCTTTCTAAAACTTTTTCTTTTGAGTTGATGCTCCACTCTTTAACAAAGTTGAACAAGTTCATTGAAATCTCTATAAGGCAAAAGTTCAACTTTGTCTCTTATTTCAAGATTTAGACCACTTTGAAATCTAGAAATGGTGGTCCTCTCTTCTTCCCTTATACCCACCCTCATCATAAGTAATTTCATTTGTTGCCTATATTCCTCCACACTTGATGACCCTTGTTTCAACCTTTGAAGCTTATCCATAAGCCCACGGTCATAGTATGGGAGAATATGCCTCCTTCTTAAGGCACTACGGAGTTCATTCCAATATTGAATTGGGGGCTCATGATGCAATCTTCTTTCTTTTTCCAAGGATGTCCACCAATACATAGCATGCCCTTGGAAGCTAAGGGTTGCTAAAGAAAGCTCCCTCTCTTCACTTACCCCATGGTAAAAGAAGAGTTGTTCAACCTTCATTTCCCAATCCAAATAAGTTTCAACAGTCTTTTCCAAAAAATGAAGGAAGGTTGAGATTAGGTTCCTTATTGGAAGACTCCCTTGGCCTATGTGTTCTTGATGGCCTTTGATAATAATCATCATTGTGATGACTACTATAATGACTATCACTTGTGGGGGGGGGTTGTAGGGTGTTGACTACCCTCACTCTCACTTCTAGGGATTCTTACCCCCTTTCCTTTTTGGGACCTAGTTGGGGGAACTCTTGGTTTGAATCCCCCAACTCCCCCTCCCATGACTAAGTTAGCAAAAATTTCTTTTATTTCTTTGTTATTTTTCTCATTTTCTCTTTCTTTTCTCCTATACTCTTCTTCTCTTTTCTCACTTTCCTCTTCTTTTCTTTTTATGTATTCCCTAAGTTCCCTAAGTTCATCCCTAAGGCTATGTCTACTACTATGGGTATTTTGACCACGTACACTTGAATTATCACCCATCTTTGATCAAGAAAGGTTTTCACAAAGGGTTCTTGAAAATATTTTCACAAAGAGTGAGTGATAAAGGTTTTCACAAAAAGGTTTTGAGTGCAAGAATAGTGATTAGAGGCCTAAGTGCACAAAGTGAACTATTAAGGGAGGTGAACTACTAAGAATATTTTAAAAACCAAGCCTTTTCTAGTAGAAATCACTAAGCCCCCTTACACTTTTCTCACAAAAATCAATTTTGGCACAAAAGTGTGAGTGTGTGCACGGACCCTTAGCAGGAAAATTTAGAGCCTTCTAAACGCATAAGAGAACCTAAAGCATGCATACTAACAATAAGAAATAGTAAAGGAAAGCAATAAAACATAGGCTAGTCGGAGGCCCTAGGGTGGAAGCTTGAAGTGACCTTGGGGGTATTCAAGACACTTCCACAAGTACTAAATGAAATTATTACAAAAATTAATTAGTTAAAAGGCCAATTACAACCCAACAAATGAATAGGGACCAAGACATAAGTGGCCTAGCAAAAACAACAAGAAAGGGAAAGAAAATGACACGAAAGAGAAAACAAGAAATTAAAGTCTTCAAGCCTCTAATGGTGGTTCCTTCACAATGAGAAAACTTGGTTAGTCCTCTCCCAAGGTGTCTACACTCCAAGATTTTTAGTAATCCTTCCAAAGCACTTTGGGCTACATGAACAACTCCTCCCACTCAATCTCCCCAAAGTTGTAAGGGAAAATTGAAGTGTACTTCATCTACACCAAGTAAACCAACCAAGAGCAAGAAAGGAGGCCAAGGAAATGAAAACTAAAAATGCTCAATTAGAAAGGATAAACTCAAAGGGAATATTGATGAGACAAAACACAAAGAATTCCAAGAAAGACAAGCAAAAAATTAAGGCACATTTAAAAAGGCAAGCACTCAAAGGAAATCCTAGAATGGCTCTAGAGTAGAATTAAGTGTTTAGTGTTTCTTGTCTTTATAATTTCATGTCCATCCTCCCAAGTCCAGCCAAGGTATTATAGATTTTAATCGAAGAAATATAACGACACACTATCCAAACGTCAGTAACAACCTTCGATAGGAACTCAATCTTTCTGGCTGATGTACACATCAAGATTGAATTCCTAGGGGGGCATTTGTTGAGACTACTCGAAAATCAGGGAAATCGAAAGACATGCTTATGAAGCTAATCGAAAGATGGAGGAGGATGAACACCTATCTGGAACGTATTAGGAGTTTTATGTATTCGTGCTAGAAATATAGTCGAAAAGTTGTTCTTGCAGTTGTACCACGTTTGCTTTTGCTGCCAATGATTTTGCTTTTGTTGCAGCACACTCCTTACGATTTGCATCCTCTATTATGATGTGGGTGATAAGATCTGAGAGCGACATTTGTTTTTGCCTATGCTTTAGGTGTTGCTTGTAATCAGTCCAACTTTCTAGTAATTTTTCAATGAGCAGCTCCGAAACGAATTCATCAGGTAGAGAAAGATTTTCTGATTTGAGGTCCTCCAGTAACTTATGATACTCATTTATTTGCACTTTAATGTCTTTTTCTTCTGTCATCTCCCAACGATAATAGTTACCTATGATGAAGCGTTGTCTAACAGAGTCCTCGGTAGTGTACTTCATTATCATGGAGTCCCATATATCTTTGGCTTCCTTATATGAGCAGTACACATCAAAGAGATCGTTAGATAAAGCACTAAGAATAGTATGACGGCAAACCTTGTTGCCTGAGACCAATCATCTGATTTGGATGCGGTTGCCGAAGTGGAGGAATCTGGCTTGGGAACAGTGAGAGCATAAGCAACACCGTGCATGTCTAGTATGGAGTGGATGCGTTCCTGCCATCAGCGGAAATTTTGGCCAGCAAAGACTTCAATTTTGGAGACATCAGGCAAGGTCTTTGCATACGTGTTCGCGGGTGGGGGAGTGACAGCAGTGATGGCGGTAGCGTTGTTTGATGTGTCAGCCATTATAAGTCCTTAAGATTGTTGTAATTTAAAATGGCGGACGCAAGTTGAATGAACCTGAAACCTGAAACACTGATTAGCTACGTTAGTAAAATTCCCCCGAGGCGTGTGATGGCACTGACCTTAAGGACTTATTCGCGGTATACGCGCAAGTCCCCCAGGATACAACAAGGTCGTCTATGACTTTTTAGTCGAAATAAAAAATATATATATACACAAAATAAATTAAAAAAA